CTTTCAGGGATTCTTCTCGTTTAGCTTCTAAAAGAAAGTCGAACTCACCACATCCATATGTACGAAGATGAATTTTTTACTCTGGATTGGTCTAGTTGATTTATCAGTTGAGCCATCCTCAGGTCTTCTTCAAATTTTTAACACACAGGTAGTCTTGTCGACTCGCTGGAGTTAAAGACTGCAAGTTTCATCTTCGTCTTCTTCGTCCTCAAAGGTTTCAAAAGATGGGAAATAGGGTGAGAGACCAAGCGCTGTTGTTGCAGAGAGAAGTAGAGGGATAGGGGTAGAAGTTTCAGTTTCTGAGGAAAGAGGTACAAACCTAGAAGAGTCTGCATTCTCAGATTAACTGATTGCCCCAAGAATTGGAGCAAGGTTGTCTTCAGCCACTCCTCTTCCTTTGTCTGAGGAGTGCTGGTTCCCTGATGATTTCTCCCCATGGGAAGCATGTTCCCTGAAGGAAATTCCTTTTGCCGGTTGTCTTGGGATGACTTGGATGCAAAAATCATCATCATCATTATCATTGTCATCATCACCATCAAGATCAGTACCTGCATCTGGAAGTTGAGGTTCAGAATCCTCATCATCTTCATCACCAGCATTTGGCAATACAGAGGTGGACGGATGAAGGTCTTCATGGTTAGCGGCAATGACCACGGTATCATCTTCATCATCGATAGCATCAGAAATATTATTCCTAGCATCCTCAGTAGAAGGGTTAAGAGCATCTTTAGCAGCCGCCTTCATATCGTTATTCTCCCCCTTGTACCTTTCTTCCTCTCTTTGTCATCATCAACGTTAAGAACTAAGAGAGGGAGTCTAGATACAAGATCTTGTAGCTTGTGCTCAATGGAGGCGATTGCTTCAACTTGAAGAAGGTTGAATGCAGCGACTCTGTCCAATTGTTGATGATCTGCTTTGATTTCACGTACCTCAGCTTGGACAACAGATAGACCATGAGTCCATTCATCCTTGGAGGGGATTCCCTGGTGCAGGTCATCCATCTTGTCTAGGTCAGTGGCGACGACAGGGAGCAACAACTTGACATCCCCAACCATGTCATAGGCTTCTGTCTCTATGAATGGGGGTTGATTCTTCATTGGACCCGTAGATAGAAGAGAGCATTGAGCATAAGCAGGCTCAAAGTTAGTAAGAAAGAAAGAAAGGGAGGTCTGGTGTATACCTGAGGGGTCATCAGCAATATCTGTATTCCAGATGCAAGAGTCATGGTTCAAATGGCACTAGGAACACAATTCGATGGAAAAACACTTCATCACCCGTAATTTGTGAGTTCATGGCACTATACGCGGTTTGATAGCCAAAACCTAGCCAATGTGACAACCGCAGCCTAGTGGCCACGACTTAACCTACACTACAACTATTACCTAGCGGTCGTGAAACAACCGGCATGACAACAACAGTCCTTCTGGTGTAATGGTAAGACAAGTGGTGGCTTTAACGGTGTTCCAGCGATGGCTTTTCCATCCAGGGTTTAGTGGCAAACCAATACCAAGATCTGAGGTGACGACATGAGCCCAAGATGACAAGGCACGATGAACAACACCATCGTGGAATACAACTGCAGTGCGACATAAGCCTTTTGCGGCAATGGTGCAGACCATATAGCTACACTTTTAGCACATGTTATTAGTTATTATACAAGAATAATTATTTAACAATCAGTCATGACGTGATTCAAGTTTCTAGTCAATAGAAGCATACATATTTTTTTATGTACGACACCATAGGTTAGCCTGTCTTTGAAGTCAAGTACTAGCCAGAAAGGCAAGTTTATTGTTCTTTGCAGTGTTTCTGCTTCAATGAAGGTATATAATACCCCATAATTATCATAATTACACTTTTAGCACATGTTATTAGTTATGCTACAAGAATAATTATTTAAGAATAAATCATGACGTAATTCAAGGTTTTGGTAAATAGAAGCATACATATTTTATATGTGCGGCACCATAGGGTTAGTTGTCTTTGAAGTCAAGTACTTAGCCGGAAGGCAAGTCCATCGTTCTTTGCAGTGTTTCTGTGTGACATTTATCGTGGGCATATACATAAAACTTACATTTTTTAATTTTGCATTTATGCTTATGAAAAACGAAATTCGTTAAGAATCGTGAAAAGTTTATGCTTATAATTAAATTACATTTCATTACACCCAATGTTTGTATAATAACTACGTTGGCGGGTTGGAGGTTGGGGAGGAATCTAGATATATCTTGAAAGACTTTATTTGGGACTCCACTACAGTCATCTTCATCGTCAAAGCTGCCTTCTCGGACCAATTGGCCTCCACCTCAGCCACATATGCTGCCCGTTCTGTCTTCAGATTAGTTTCACATTTTGCCCATAGCTATAACTCAAGCTCGACCTCTCATGTTGTCTACTTAGTCTCCTGCTCTGCATCCGATGCCTGTTGGTTCTCCTCGATTTTCTTTTGTTCTTTTTCTTGAGGCATGATTAGTAATCCGCTAATGATGAAATTAATGACATATTATTGAAGAAGAAAACATATCTTCGGTAAGGGACCAACGATGTAAATCTCACAATGTTGCAGGGTCACCAACATGGGTAGATCTATGCCTAGGAGTTGGGATTAGTTGACCTCATAAATTTTCAAATTTTTTATAAATATATTTTTTACCGCCAAAAATTGTAAATTTGAATTCCAACCCCCCAATAGCAAAATATATGGATCATCGCAAACCAAAGAGGTAACATTTATTCCAACCTCCAATAATCTACCCTACAGTTGGGGATCATCTGTAGGACAAGTGTTGGGCTATGAGTCATAACTCTACTGCATGACTTGCTCATAAGGTTGCTATGATTTACCAAATCAAAAAAGAATTAGTAATTTCTAGAAATTTTATAAACGTAATAACTATAAATCATGCATTTTCATAACTTGCTATAACACCCCAAAAATTGGGACAAAAAAAAACTTTCCATAGATAAACCAGAAATGTGGTATACAAATATCAGAATATGAGCTTTACCCAAAAAGGGATACACCAGTTAATTACAATTGTAAGTACATTGGTTTGAGGTTAACAACCTCCTAACCTAATCCTTAGAGAACTAGAATACAATTGGGTGTCATCCAAACCATCAAAAGACTATGTCAACGGTTGGTATTCCGAAAGTGTTCCCCCGAAGCTCTCTACGATGGTCAGTCAAACCTACTTAGCAACCTCGCCACTAGAACCTGAGATACATGTCGACATAAAACAAGTGTTAGGCTAAAAAGCCTAGTGAGCATGAACATGAAGTAAGGAGCTGTAATATACTATTTATAAGCCATGTATAACGTTAATTGGGAATCAACAAGGGAGACTGATATCCATTGAGAGTGATGAGAACACATAAGTGTGTCATTCCTACAACATTATCGCATGGTACCCTCAAATTATAATCTAAGCGTCCTGAAGACCTCTTAACAAGTTTCAACTCAAGATTCGGTTAAACTTAGTGTCTATTGTCATGAATAATACCTCAAGGCTCAACACAATTATTGTCTACCTCCAAGGTAACACCTCATACGGTGGAGGTCCTAGTGCCTACCTACAAGGTAACACCTCAAGACTCAACCCTCCTAGTAGGGCTGTAAACGAATCGAACGAACACGAACGGAGGCTTGTTCGTGTTCGTTCATTTAACTTAACCGAACAAACGAACGAACACGAACGGTAAACGAACGAAAATAATTGTGTTCGTGTTCGTTTATGTTCGTTCGTTAACAAGTTAAACGAACGTAAACGAACGAACATAAACGAACATTCTTAACGAACA